ATATGTGAGTTAATAGGTTTTGGATAGAGAAATAATATTATGTTACATATGAGAAGGGTAAAATGAGGGACCATATTTGAATCTAAAAGATAAATTATATTGATATTTTGACTTCTTTAAGTTATACTCATGTCGTTAACATGATATTTATCTTTATTGTATTTCAAAATCCAAGTTGGATTGTTGCGAACTTTATGAAAATATAAATTGAGTTTGAGATATAAACAACGTTCAATTCAAAATATATTTTCTATAACATTCCACATGTTGTTTATTACATTGTTTCTTTAGCATTTAAAATCTCAATGATGGTCCACAAGCTTTTAATAAATTTCACATTTTAGTGGGTATGTTGATGAGACGTATCAATAGTGAATGTGTATCATATTTTCGTCGACCCAAATATATATAACAAGGCATATGTTATTAAGAAATTTAAATTTCTACCTTACATGTTGTTGAACCGAAAAAAATCATGATTTTGATAAAATTGGACATAACATTTTTGCCATCTAAGTTGAAATTAATTATAAAAAAATAATAAAAAAATTAATAGCCATTTGGTTGTGATCCTATTTCTTATTTCGAATATTTTAAGAAACATAAACATTTCGTAACTGTAATTGTTTTCTTGTTTCTCATTTTTAAAACACGTTTGCAAAGTTATGTATGTATTTTGAGAACAATAAAATCAACTGTTTTGTTTCTCGTCATTCTTTTCAATTTTTTCCAAAACATGGATAAAAATTTTATTTTTATCATTTTTTTAAATGCATAATTGAAAATATATAACTTAAAAAAAGCTTTAATATTTAATTTGAAAAATCAAATTTCATATAAAATTTCTCTTTTTTTAATCTAAAATTTTAGATAACAAAAAACTAGAAATTGTTATTAGACAATAAATAGTTATGGAATCTGTTTATGCAAGGATATACACAACAGTGTATTTCAGATTGCAGCTCGAACTCGGCCTCCAGACCGATCTGAATACTTGGGCGGACCTGCACAAAAAGGTGAGCACTCCGACGATCAAGTCAGTATAGGTCGGATTCCCAGTTTAGTTCAAGGTCAGAAATCATCGTACCTGATCGTGGAGTGAAGTCCTCTACTTATGGGTGGTAGTCCCGCTAATCTCGCGACGGTTACACCCGTTAATCTCGGGACCGTCGGTTACACCCGGTAATCTCGGGACCGTCGGTTACACCCGGTAATCTCGGGGACCGACGGTTACACCCGATAATCACGCCGCTGACAGTAGCTCACATCGGCCCCCACCGAGCTTCCCGGTAGGTCGGACCTCGGCCAGGTTCACCTCGGCCCTCATACTTAGTATCTGTCAACGCTAGTGGTGGTGATCTCAGCGGTCCGAGCTGGGGCATGACTCATGGTCACCTTGGGGCACCAATGGCTGTCCTCCACGTGTACAGGGTATTCTTTCCCCCAAACAGAATGTAGTTCCAATTTGTCTAAAATTTAAAAATAAGAAATAACAACGTATTTAACATCAAACTAAAAAAGGGATGAAATTAAATAATTAAAATTAGACAAATAACAAAAGAAAAATTGTGTAGAAAGAACAATAAAGTGTAGTAATGTTGGAAACTTGGAAGTACTACTGACAAACTGTAATTGTTTATTGAGCCAGTTAACAAAAATTCTACCTCCAACTGCGCATCGAAATGCAGATAATACACAGACAATTTTCCAATTTATATAATTTCGAAAGTGCGAATCAAACTGAAGAAAAATAAATGAAATGTTCAATTTGGTAGTTGCATTAATTGCGGGATGGGACCTTTCGTTAAACTCCACTGTATTTGACTATATACTAAAATTTCCATTTGTATTAAATCAGTTAGCAAATAATTTAAGATAAATTAAATTCCTTTTGTTCCCAACATAGTCTACATTGTAATACATGAGTAAGGCTAACGTATTTACTGGGCACTAAAATATTTCAGATGAAATTAAAAATAAAATTAAACGACAATTGTTGATATTGATGCGTGAATTATGCTCTCCCGGTTCCTTCCCAAGTTCACACCAAACTTGATAATCAGGTAACAGAGAACCTACAAAACCAATCAAATCTAAACCGGTGTGACTCCAGTCACACGAGCTCCGATGCCTAAGTTATCAAGGAGAGTAGATGGATAATGGAGTTAGAGAGTATGGTGTTTTCGCATACCCCTAGGGTTTGGCTCCCCCCTCCATTTATAGAAGTCGAGTTCTAATCCCCTTAGGGTTTACCCCAGTCAAATTCTCAAACGTCTCAATATTCGGGTCAGTCGTTTGTTGTGGGCTTTAGGTCAAATCGAGAATCAAGGTGGGATACTTCGAGTGGGATTGCGAAACAGTCGGGATGAACCGCTATAGTTCTCAGCCGGGGGGACGAGAACTGCTCGGCGCTGGTCGGCCAGGGGCCGGCCCAAGTCGTCGGGTGCCGGCCCCCCTTTCCTGGTTCATGCTTTCTCTCGGGTTTCCTCCGACCCCGTCGCTTGGTCTATTCTTCTTTTATCTCCCCATAACAGTTGCGTAGTACTAAAAAAAAGTACCA